CAGGCAGGCGCTTGAAAAGAGAAACGAAGGATCCGGAGAGGCGGTTAAAGGCACTGCATCAAGTAGATCAAACATTTTCTGCTGGTTGCTCCCCTTCTCTCCTTTGCGGGGAGCACGAAAATCCACCGAAAGCCCGAATGAAAAAAATCTCTTAATCAAATGACGTGAAAGAAAGCCGGGTCGACGAGAAGGAGAAAAGGGGAACAGGAAGAAAAGCACTCTGAAATTTTAAGCTCCTTCGAAAAGATCGCTAAGAGACCGGGACAGACGTGAGCGAGGTACGGGAGAGACAAATAAAAAGTTCTGCAAATTTGAGTGGTGGTTTTAACGCCGATGTACGAACCGCCGTGGCTGACCGCCGATAAAACCGCTCCCCTGATCCTCTTCGTCCCGCGTGCCGATGCCGAAGGCGATCCCTCGCAGGGATCGATCGATTGTAATTAAATGGAAACGCTTTTACTCGACGCAATGGGCTCGTTACGCTTATCGCTCTATTTTTTCCTCTCTCCCTTTTTTTATCGTGAAATAATATTTTAATTATTACAGCCGCGACGCGCGCGGCGTGCAACGCGGCGGATTTAGCGACGGATTTAAAGAGCACCTTGCTGGGATAAAGATTTCTTAGGGCGAAAGATGAAGCAGCTCCCGCGTCAAAGGGCAAACGTAAATCTCTCGCGGATTTTCGTTCTAATATCAACGCAAGTTTTTGAAAATCATTATATTTATCGTAAACACCAAACGCATCCATTATTGTGGAAGATGATAATTTATAATTGTTTTAAGGACTCTTTATAATTTCCAAAAACCTATAAATCGCAGCTGACGCTAGACAAAGCAGTCTGGCAAAATACCTTGCCTTTAATTACGAAAGAATGACTTGCAAACGTAGTTCTAATGAAAAACGCTAGGTATAGCACATCCAGACATTACGCGCATACGAGTAATTAATATACGGAGCGGACCGGGGAGCAATTTTATATAATTGGAACAAGCTACGCAAAAATATTTAATTACAGAAATTTAAAACAAGTTCATACATATTCTCGAAAACAAAAAACGAATCAAGTCCTCTGGTGAAGTTCGTGAAAAGCATTTGTTTCGCAAATTTGTTTTATTTATTTTTTTTTTTTTTTTCAAGAGAAGCTTTACTTTCCCCGCCGTAAAAGTTGCACAATCGTTGATCGTACACCGTGCAATGTTGTTTAATCAAAAAAAAAAAAAACTTGATCTACAATGTATTTTTCAACGACAGATAGTTTGTGCACCGGAATTTGTGCAACGAAGTTGTGTGTTTATATCGTGCAAAGCACCAGACTCTGCCGACTGTCACGCTGTGGCATCAGCGCGTTATGTATGTTGTACATGTTTTATTTACCATCGTATAACGTTGTTTTCTTTAAACTGTATCTAGTATGCGCGGTCATTGCAACGGCGTCACATAACTAGTGGCGAACGAGATATAAAAAATGCTACACATATATCTGAAAAACCGCGCGTACTCTACTTGTCGATCGAAAAAGATCGGCAAACAGTGCGCGGCAGATATGTATGTGTGCACATATTTGATTCGCGTTTGTTCAAGTATCAATATAATTGCAAACAAAATCACGCGTGATAGGTATCTATTCGGAGTTAAATTAATCGAATGCGCGAAATTAACGGAAAATTTTGAAATAAACAATAACGCATTTTTTTTACTCGTAACGTACATTTCACATACATAAGTTGTGTAATTATTTAATTGACTGTTAACTCTTTCACACATCGACGTTTATATCTTGATAACAGGCACACCCGAGGGTCCGGCGAATTCGTGTTTCCGGCAAGTAGTAATACCGCAAATGTGGTCAGCCGCCAGTCCAGATTCTGATGGAAATCGTCGGCCGCAAATCCAGATTTCCACGAGAATCGCGAAACACGTCCGACATTCTCGATGAGAAATCGCAGAATTTACCTGCGCCCGCCGCGGCCGCCGCTTACATTAAATTAAAAGCTTAATTAACTGCGCACTGCAAGTGGCAATCAATGACCGACGGAATTCCACAATAAGCCGTTGGCCTCATTAACTCGCGTGCGAGATTGGAAGTAATGTCAGCAGTCAATTGCGCGCGCAATGTATAATTGCAAAAAAACAAAATTGTCGAGATAAAAAGAGCGCTTGTGCAAGCATTTATTATAGCTGAAAAAAATATCAAAGAACAAAAAAAGATAACAACACGTGCTGTTGCTTAAGCTTAAGATACCAGTCCTTAAAATACTTCTCCCATTGCGTTCAACTCATTCCTAAGCTATTATAGTAGCATTTATTTACGCAATTGTTTGTGTGTGCGAACTAAAACGTTATCGGGCAATAATAAAAACCGACAACAATGTTGCACGCATGTTGCAGCGATACTGCGATCGTCACGCGCAATTTCAGTCAAAATAACCGCGACGTCGAGGCTGTCATCGTCGTGTGCGAACGAATATCCATTGCAAAAGTTGACTCGCAACAAGCCGCGCATGACCTACTGACGTCAACAGTCTGTCGACATCTGTTGTTTCAGATATGTCAGCGTCTAGTTCCACATCATAATTTCTCGTTATAGACGAGATATTTTTCATTAATTCATTCATGTTTGCTTCCTCTCGAGTTTTATCAGACCCCCTGGGTATCTGAAATAAAAACACAGATAAACGCTTATCAGAAGCACACACACATACACACACACACACACAATTGTATAGATAAGATATAACAGACCTCGGTAATAATATCGAGTGTGTCGCTTCAACTGTGTCACACGTATTTATTATAAAAGTAAAATTTAAAAAAAAGACAAACAGCCGAAGTTGTACTTACAAAAGTCTCACGTGCGTCGAGTCGATAACTGTATAACGATGTGTACCGATTATAGTAACCGTTTTATCGCTGAGGACAGAGCAGATTCTTTGAACGATAAATTATGTATGAGCGAGTGCTGTCGCGAAGCTACCGGGTGAAAGAACAAAGGACGAGAGGTGATACACATACGAGACAGGAATATATTTATTCATTCAACGGGTGCATAATTTTTTCGCATAATGCAGGCGGCGCACGACTCCGATCATATCGATGTCGTCCAAAAAATATCGAGTGCATTCGCAAACATAAACAAAAAACAAGAAGCCACGCGCTCTACAATAGAACAGAAAATAAAGAGAGAACGAACTACGCACAGAAATCCCATTTGCATAGGAAAATGACGCCACTAAAGGCACGCATAATTATCATAGTTGCGCAGTTATGGCAAGCGCCGAATTGTTAAAATGTTGAGTGCCGAGGAATTTTCTGACAGGCTCAAAACCAGCCCGTGAATTTAGGAAATTCAAGCAGCACACGGACATACGCGAAAAGAACCCGCGCCAGAATTAATCACCAGCCGACTAAAATAGTTGAGCTGCGTGACATAGTTTCGTGTCTCACTCGCTCTCTTGGAGCGAGATATAAAACTAGATATTTGCGAGGAAGAGAACATTTCTTTTTTTTTTTTAATCATTTATATCTTTGTGACGAGTAAATGTTCTACGTTTTGAGAACACACGCCGATTTTAATTTCGACGTCGTTTGCGCTTTATTGTGCACGTTAGAGAACGGAACGTCGTTTTTTTTTTTTTTTTTTTAAAAAATAAAAGACCGATATAAAAAAAACTACACAAAGTAAAATTATATTATTATATTCAATTCGCTGTCTTTTTTTGAAACGTATAATTCATAATTTTATTTTTTTTTTGTCGAAAAGACAAAAACAATTTTTCCACAGTAATGTTCGGTGTTTCCACCGGTGTATTCCAATCAATTTGTCGGTGAATCGAAATTTGACAAGCAAGATTTAGCGACAAAAGCGCATTCACACATACCGGCACTTCGGTCGCAACTGAGAGACAAACTATTTGATCAATGGTTGCACGTCGGGGAAGCTCAAGCTCGGCTTGTATCGCTGAAAGTATGCGTCCTACGCGCCATCGGTTTTGGCCGACTAAATATTCGGTCATCGGAGACTTGCTAAAATTGTCTGGTATCCCATGCTTATCGAAATACTCGATCTTAACCGAGAGAGACCGCGATTACGAAACAAAGCGGAATTTGCTATGTCGAGCGTTTCACCGATCTATATATCGCCATACATCTGATACCTAACAAATTCCAATTCCAGAAATATCTGTTCTTAGACTCCTCCAGACTCTTATCATAATTAATTTAATTTTTGTATCACGCGCAAAAGTTACGATTTTGCGTGTTTTTAATACCGTAGGATTTAATTTTTTTTCTCTCGAATAAAAAAGCGCGGGAAAATTTGCAGCTTCGCGCGAAACGTCTGTCAGATTTCGCGATGCACAAGCATATAATCGAACGCCAAGCCTGGTGTTTAATATTTACTATGCGGACCACGTTACAGTAGTTACGACACGATGGATCGGAGTAATAATACGGCTGGCACGCTATTGCGCTCAGTCATATTTCATGCTCTTAATACAGTTCCAACATTATATTACTTCGTCGCCGAGGCGCGCGCCTCTTTTCCGGGCCCGAAAACTCACCGATAATTTTACGTAGTCGCTGTAACGCACGTAACACATTATTTCGTTCGACGCTTCTCGACAGCGTCTTATTAATCCCACCGAGGGTGGTACGAGTCTGATATTTGGTACAACAAAATTTTCGCTATATATTATGAAGTGTAAAAAAACTGTTATGACGCGTGTGACACTCGAAATTAACAAAAAAAAACTTTTATATTGTAAAAAAAAAATTAACAAAAAAACTTTTATATTGTAAAGTTTAATATGTGATATTTCACATACACACTATAAAATACTATAATTCTACCAATTGTAAGACACCCGGTATATGTCTACCTGCTAATCACCTGGCACAGTCTAGTGGCGCTATCTCTAAAACATTGTTGAAATCATTTCTTAAATCTTGCTCACCTTCAGCAGATAATATTTGCCTCTAATTTCCGCATTTCGCGACATAAACGTGCGTTGCAAACTCAAATATGGACACTTCGGTTTCGAAACCGGGTCCGCTATATTTTTTTAAGCGAGTTTTCAATAAAAAAAAAAGTGAAACTAGTCGGACAACTTTAGTCGCGTTCGCCTTTCACTCGCGGTCTTGTTTAGAAAATGAGTCTAATCGATTGTGCAACACACGCGAGACGTCAGAGTTATCGACCCCCCGCGGAATCGTATCGTTTTGACAGCTGTGTTTGACGTGTCTCGACTTATCGCACAGATACAAATGCCTATCACGGTTGCCCAAGTTCCCGCGTACTACGTATCCTTCGTTTGACGGCATGTAACAGCACGTGGTTCAGAATAACGAGGGAATCCGTCGAAACAACATCACCCAACAATGTTCTCCCTCAGAAACGCTCTCTCCGTTTCCTTGCAGAAATTTGCGAGAAAACTGCATTTCTCGCAAACCCGGTGAGTAATAAAAACAACCGATTCTTCTTTGTAAAAAAAAAAATATACATCTGATATACAAAACCTTTGCAAAACCTTTGAATTTTATTATTTTTAGGCGAGCAGCCGTAATAATAGATGGTAAAAAAATAGCGGAAGAGATTCAAGACGAATTAAAGGCTGTTGTAGACACTTGTATAAGTGCTGGAAAAAAAAGACCGAAACTGGTCGCGATATTAGTGGGAAATCATCCTTCGAGCAAAGCATACATTGGTAGAAAAATGCAAGCAGCAAAGTCAATAGGTAATTTTGTTTTAAATCTTCAACACACATTTATCTCTCTGCTGTAATATACATAAAATTTGATATCAATTTTGTCTCTTCATTGAAATGATAAGGAATCGAAAGTTACACCATTCATTTGGGAGAGAACATAACACAAGCAGAGCTTCTTAAGGAAATCGACTGTCTCAACGGAGATCCGTCTGTCGACGGCGTTTTGGTGCAGTTACCGTTGCCAAAGGACATGAATGAGAAAGAAGTGTGTCAGGCAATAGTTCCTAAAAAGGATGTAGACGGATTTCATTTAGAAAATCTTGGTAATTTAACACTGGACAACAGCAGCATTATACCAGCCACTGCCCTAGCTGTAAAAGAATTAATACTCCGAACTAAGATCGAAACTTTTGGAAAGAACGCCGTGGTTGTCGGTAGATCAAAACATGTTGGGCTGCCTATCGCACTATTACTCCATGCAGATGGCAAAGGTGATTGATCTTTGAACCGATAGTTCATTTTGTCACACCAAGTGGCACTGACAGAGATAATCTGACATTCTAGACCTTTCAACTATGTAATTGATAGCATTATATATAGTCGCAACTATAAAGTCTTATTTTGTACTAAACTTTAGGTTTTTTTTAATATCATTTTGTTATTCTTTTTTCTTAAAAATTCTTCTACACATGTAATTTGTAATTACATTATTTTTTGATCTTCTTTTATTCTTCTTGCCCGGAACTCTTTAATCACGTTTCTTTCATTTGTATTAGGTGAAACAGGTGCATTAGACATGACAACGACCATCTGTCATCGTCATACGCCTCATACAGAATTAGAAAAGTTTACAAAACTGGCGGATCTGATTGTAGCGGCAGCTGGAGTTCCCGGCTTGATCACCAAGGAGATGATAAAACCGGGCGCTTGCATAATCGATGTAGGAATAACCAGGGTAAAAACCGCAGACGGTAAATATCGTCTGGTGGGTGACGTAGATTATGATAGCGTGAAAGAAGTCGCTGGACATATCACACCGGTTCCTGGTGGTGTGGGCCCCATGACAGTAGCAATGTTAATGAAGAACACAGTCACGACTGCTATGAGAAACCAAGAAGATGTAAAACAATCCGTTCTTATGAAAGATAACGGAGTAGTATATTGATATTGAAAATCTATTCAATAGTTAAATGGATTAATTTTCGTATTTTATATGTACGGTCAAAGTATTATTTTTTGTAACAAATTTTGTAAATAAACTATTTTAATGCTTTTTAATGCTTTTAAAATTTAATATTTTTTGCCTCTCTAGGGTTCTGATCTTGGTTGACACGTTTAATCAAGATGGCAACCTTCGTATGGATTTGATATAATTTAAAAAGAATCAGAAACATATCTATTGCTATTTTTGCATTTAAATCGCGGATATAATTACAAGAAAGCTCTTGTAAACTGTGTATCAGTTAAACGGTGAAGAACACAAAGTGAGTTTTTGTGAAAAGCTTCGTGTTCTATTTCGTAACAGTGATATTCACGTGTTTCGCACACAACACTTGCGTTTTACAATAGGAATTGCTACTAATGCTACTTTACTCTACCAACCCTCATCTTTTCTCAAACAAGCTTGGGATCATCTGGCGGAATTAAATTGTAAGGAAGATTTATAGAGATTTTTGTGCATTTCAGAGCTATTTTGGTCTTTTTGGCACATCTTGACATTTTCAAGAGAGGTTAGTTTAATAACGCGGTGTGCGACATATCTCTCTGCGAGAATCAATTCTTATAAATAATGCTATTCATGAATGTTGTTCGTTTCTTTAAACAAGGCGAGAAATTTATTTTTTCGAACAGAATCAGCATCACAAGTTGCATCTACTCAAAAGTTCCGATGTCGAATTCCGCCAAAACAAATAAACCAAAAGTCTTGATTACACGGCCTGATATACCTGTTGCGCCTTTACAGCTGTTACGTGAACGGTAAGAGACAAATAAAATATAAAGCTATTATTTAAAAACAAAAACAATCTGACAGAATTATTTTTTGTTACTTTCTATAGATACGACATCATATTATGGGAAAAACAAGAACCAATACCGCGGTCAGAATTGTTATCCAGAATCTGTGGAGCAGATGCTCTCTATTGTATGTTAACAGATAGAATAGACAATGAAGTTCTAGAAGCTGCAGGCCCACAATTAAAAGTTGTAGCATCTATGTCAGTAGGTGTGGATCACTTAGATTTAAATGCTCTTAAGAAGAGAGGTATTAGAATTGGTTACACACCAGATGTTCTGACTGAGGCTACTGCAGAACTATTAGTAGGTCTTTTGTTAACTACATCAAGGAATTTATTGCAAGCAAATAAAGCGATTGACAAGTAAGAAAAAAATTATATCACAAGAAAGAAATATATAATGCTTGCACCATGAACTGAGTGCATTATGATTTTGCTTTCTGTAGAGGAGAATGGAAAGCCTGGTCGCCTGGATGGATGTGTGGCACAGGTTTAGTGGGAAAGACTGTGGGAATTGTTGGCTTAGGAAGAATTGGCTTTAGAGTGGCAGAGATACTCAAAAGCTTCAATGTTGCTAAGATATTATATACCAGTAGAAGAGTGAAACCAGAAGCATCTAAATTTAATGGTGAAAAAGTTGAATTTAATAAATTATTGGAAGATAGCGATTTTGTTTTAGTTACTGTGGCACTGACATCAGAAACAAAATATATGTTTAATACTGAGGCCTTCAAACGAATGAAACAGACTGCTATATTTGTGAATGGTAGTCGAGGAGATGTGGTAGATCAAGAAGCATTGATAACTGCTTTAAAAACCAGCTCTATTGCAGCAGCTGGTCTGGATGTTATGACACCAGAACCAATTCCACTAGATAGTGAACTTTTAAGATTAGATAATTGTGGTGAGTATCTTTACTGATTTCATTAAATTAACTAATATTAATCTATATTTGTCTCTTTTCAGTTATTCTACCTCATATAGGAAGTGCCACCAAAGAAACTAGAGAGCAAATGGCCAAAATCACAGCAGAAAATATTATAGCAGTTCTTGAAGGAACACCTGAAAATATGCCTGCACAAATTAAATCATAGTCACGTACAATTGGAACTTGAATACAAACTATATTGTTATGAAGGATTCTTGATACTGTATATGATATATCTAATTTGTCAGTGATAAATGTGTATTTATTTAGTTTAAATAATTTTTATAACTTATTCCATTTTTTGCGAGTATTAACTATTAGAAGTCAGTTTTTCACATAAAAATACAAAGTAATACAGAATAAATTAATAGTAACAATAAAATGAGATTTTTTTTGTACTTACTATTCAAATCTGATCTCAACAGTTCTTATATTAAATTGTCTGTTCTTATCTCAGTAGTTTTAATAATAATAAAACTTGTTCGTACACAGTAAAATGTAAAGCTGAAGTAGCAGCAGCTTTTATTTGACTCGGCACTAAGCCCTTAAACAAACCTTGTACTCCCTCCTCTTTAACAGTTACTTTCACGCAATCTAGTAGCCCATTGCATTGGAAAAACTTACCAAATCCTTCACGACCGTGTTCAAAACCTTGTATCTGTAATCTCTTTCTAACAAGATCAAATGGATATACAATTGTTTTTGCTAATAGACCAGCACTACTTCCAGACAGCATAGAATTAGAGAAAGTAGTATCAGCATCAGAAGTGTATCTTTTATAAACATCTTTAAAAAATTCATAGAAAGCAAATTGTAAACCACTGTGTGGAGCAATTTGTAATAGAGTTGGTAATAGTCCCGAAAAGAAGACTTTTGGAGATTCATTCCGAAGAATTAAACTAAAAAATATTTTGTTATAATTCTTAGTATAATGATATGTGATATATATTAAATGTTGTGCACATCTTACCTACAGGAATGTAACATTCCAGTATATACTAGACAATTATTTGATTGAGCTACTAATCTAGTTCTAATAGTGTCAAAAGGAAATGAAACAATTGTTGCTACACTTCCAGCACTAGCACCAGCAATAAAATGCATTGAGTGATTCCATTTCTCAATCTTTGGTATTTCTTGTAATAGTTTCATAAACACTTTATATGAATAAAACTGCAGAGAGACAAAAAAGTAATATATATTAAAAAATATTAGAATAAATACTTTTGTGTCAATTGATTTATGAATAATAATTAACTACATTCTAGTTTTACTTTGCACCTGAGCCATTCCATAAACAATTGAAAGAAATTGCGCAGGTACATGACCTTTCCACAGAGCAGAAATTCCTTCTTCTTTATAAATTAGAAAAAATGCTTGTGGCACAGATCTATATTTGCTAACATGATGTCTCGAAATTGGTTCAACTTGCAACTGCAGAGAGAGTGTACAAGTAATGTTAATTTTAATCTATTAAAAGAGTAATAACAAATATACTAAACTGATTTTTCCTGTGTGTCTATACTATACACGATAAAATTCACCTGAAATCTAATTTTAATAACGTCTAAAGGCTGACATAAAAATCGCGTTACAAATCCGCTGACAGCTCCTGCAATCGCATGATTCGAGTTTGATTCAGAAGATTCTTGCGAAAACCCCATAGTTAACTAAACTACTTTACACAAATACACAAATATGTCGGAGCTGACCGGCTGCTCGCATGGTACAAACGTCAAAAAAGACGGCGTCAAAAATTCGTGGAGCTGGCGCGGAGATCGGAGGACAAGCAGAGCGTTTGCTCGCCAGCGAGCGCCGTACGAACTAAATAAATAGTAGCAATCGGTTATCCGCAACTACGTCGTGTCGATAATGTAACTACTCTACTTTTCAATTTTCTTCTCAAAACGTAAGCCTATTGGCCATTTACTAAATATCTAACGTCAGTCATAATCCGACATTTAAGCTCGGCTAGTCGGTTTAGATTAAAATAAGAGCCAATCACAGTCGATTGCTACTTGGCCGCTCATTGAGCGGTCGTGTTTCTAGATGTACACAATTCGTTATGTACATCGCGTCAGCCAATCAATATATTAGTTTTACAGGAAAACAACATAGTTAATAGCAAATTTGCTGATTGGCTACCGCGTTGCCGTGTCTTGTCTACGAGCGTCCATAGGCCTTGAGCAATATGCGTACTTAACCAAATATTGTTTCATACATGTGAGAAAGGTAACAGAACTTATTTGACGAAAGCGGAGTCTTTTTTATTGCGTTCTTTCATTTTATGCAAAAAACGTATCAGATGCATAACAATTCATTATTTTCATCGAGAAAGCTATATTGAAAGCTATATTACCCGTTTGACTTCTCAAATCTTTTTTATAGACATGTGATAATAATAAATAAACTTTATTTCGTTGAGATTTAAGATAATGACTGTCTATTAAAGTGTTTTGTTGCGTTGTGCCCATTGTTGTCTAAAGTGCCATGGCAAATTGTCCACGTCTTGTTTCTGATTACTTTACTCCACACGTTGTGTGGTATGATAAAGATTATATAGTTGTTATTCGCATTCAATTAAGCGATATATCTGATTATTATTTGCGAGTTGACAACGAGTATTTGATTTTTAGGTATTTAATATATTATATTTTATGTATGTTTGTGCACAAGCATTTATACATATAACAAAACTAAATATATAATACATGTAGCTATAGTAATTATATTATTGTAGTGCAATAAAAGATGATAAAAGATATTATCTCGTCCTGCACTTGTTTGGACCAGTGATAGCAGAGAAGACAAGAAACAAGAATGTAGGAAGGGAAATTACAGTTCGTCTTATAAAAGCGCTTAAAAGTATGTTAAGCATTAATTTTTGTAAATGATTTCAGTGAGACAAAGATATTGAATCAAATTTTTTAATAATTAATAGCTTTTCCATGGTTAAGACTGATCAGTTCTAAGGAAAAAAATTTTTTTATATCACGTGACTTGAGTGAGCTATATGAAATAGATGAGCTGAGTGGTGAAGTCCAAATAAATGAAAAGGAAAGACTGAAGTTTCAAAGTATTTATATCCTAGATTAATATTTGTAAAACATTTAATTATGATATATGTAAATGTTTTTTTTTCTTTTTTTAGGGAAAGCATTGCAGAAGAAGTCAAAAAGCAGTCAAAAAGGATATATATTACCTTTTGAGCAGTGCAGTGATGAAGATGATTCTGATGAAGATGAAACATATTTTTCTGAATTGATATATTAATACATATTATTCAGCTTCTCTCACTGGAGTATAATTACTATCCATATTTTTATAACTAAAGAAATGATTGGTCATTATTTTATAAACATTGTTTACAATTAATAAATTATTTGCACAGTGTTTCAGAAATAGTCATCAAAACACTTTTTGAAGTCTTTACAACTCAAATAAATTCTGCAAAAATAGATAATTATTTATATAATGCCATAAATAAATTTTTGTGGTAAATTTTATTTTTTACCTTTCTGCCAGCAGATGTTGAGTCTTTTAGGGCTCATGTTACAATTTTGAGGAAGTTTGTTATGGGTCAAAATCCCACTCGACGTTCGCTGTGCACACTGTCACACTGTTCGCTTTCCAAGGATTAATAAAAAACAATGAGATTTATATGATTCCCGGTGCGAATTGTGACACGGATATTTTATCTTTTACGGATACATTATATTTCCTCCGTTGTATATTATCAAATTGACAACTTAACAATATTTAGACGTGTTCTTAATCAAGTCTTCCAAAAAAATAAAGTAAAAGTTTTCAGAAATATAATAAATAATTATTTTTAAGATTTTTTAAATCTGACAGTTTATATCACTATTTATGTAAAAAAACATCGGTTGTTGGATCAAGTTCGTTACACTGAATGCAATTCTTGATATTTAGTGAAAACAAATACAATTCTGATACATTCTGTGTCACAAGAAATAACAATTCTTTCTTGTGTAAAACCAAATATAAAATCATTCACATATAATTAAATACATTAAATAAGTCTTTATATTATAAACATTTATACAGTCATTTCCAAAAAATTATACAATTTTTTCTATAATAATTTAAAACACACTTTTGTGTGAGGAAATATAAAATGTTATAAATGCTTATAATATATATTCTTATAAAAACTATACATATATATTTATAACAAAATTCAATAGTTAATTACTAAGGAATGTGTCACTCAGAGGAGAGTCGATGAGACTTGGAGAAATCCACAATCAGTAATTATATAATTATGTCATGCAAATACGCAAACATGTCTTTGGCAATGCATTTAGCTTGATTTTCAACTTTTATAAAATTACGAATATAATTTTTACTGAATCTACCGTTGTATAACAATTAAAACTAACAATATGGCAACTTTATTATTGGAAACAATACGCATCGAAAATATAATTGATTTTTGTAGAATGCAAAAAAATTAATCACAAACACTGAAAAATTAATTCTTAAACGGTTTTTGATTGACGACAGGAAAATGTACATAATCTTATTGTACATATAAGGAACAATTATCGGTAGTTTTACTAGATGTTAATGTACAGTGTGTATATATATATTGTGTGTATATATATGTACATGTACATATATATACATATTGTACATATGTACATATTGTATACATTTGTAATGTATATGTACACACTATACTATATACATATATATACATATATATGTATATATATGTATATACTTGTTTCTTGTGTGATATACAGTAAAATATAAACAATAACAATAATCCTTTGAATGCAATAAAATATCGCTAAATGACTATAAAGTAGCGATAGTCATACGAGCGTAAGATATTAAAATCAGAATTAGTGTGTATAAAAATAGAAAAATAAGGCAATAATAAATAATAAATAGAATTATATAACGGTTATAAAAAGTATTATTGCAAAGTAGCCAATTTGCAATGTAACTTTATACAGATTGTCTATACAAAACCGAATAACATTCATAATCCAGTTTCTTTCGTAAATTTTTTTTATACAATAAATTTATTCGTGTATTTCTATAATTTTGCGTGTGCGTGATTGATTCTCCAAGTGTGATTAATGAAAACCCATCGTAACCCAAATTAGATATTTATATAATATTCGCATTAGACAGAATTTTTTTGCTTGTAAAGATGAACATTAACGACGATAATATTCATATCAGCTTGACACCACTTTATAGTACGTTCGAACGTTACGCAAAACTCGTGACATTCACATACTACTTCTAATGAAATTAATTGTGTAACATCTGGGTGTGTCTTTGCAGCGATATGATTTTTACGATGTTATGTCACACTAATTACTAACTTCGAGCGCGATAATGAAAATTAAAATGAGATACCGATCACCGTCTATATTCAACTTTTTTTATGTGCATCGACGTTCTCTAACTAAACTAAGCTTTCAACTTGTGAGAATTGCCGTTTTAAATCGACCGTATAATACTATAGCACACGCAGCTCGCGATATTATGTGTGCCGAGGTCTTTCTGATATATCGATAATTATCTACGTATATATTTCATTTTGCTAGCATCCTTCTAATGACAGCCTTTGGTTTATATTATCGACTCTCAGCTTCATTTCCCTGAGTATATCCGTCGCAAGGTCGTCGACAGTGGTATATCGTACTTTGAAGAAATTAAATATATCTACGAGAAACTCGATCACTTGATCCCTAAAATAATGACAAGTGGAATTCAAACTGCCTTCAGGACCTAAAAATCCCCAAACAAGCACCGGCGAGATGTGCTCAGAGATGGAATAGAAATGCGCTAGAAATCCTTGGTCATACGTCAACATTCTTCGTTTACCTGCGAGAACGGACCAGAGCGCAGTGCCTATTGCCTTCAAAAGTAATCGACGATAAACATCAATAAAAAAAAAGGACAATATAAAATTGAGGTACGTACGCACATAGTGTGTACTTACAGTTTCTCGAAAACTGGCTGATATCCATCTATTCTGAATTATCGCTCTGATGGGCGGTGGTGGTTTTTCCACTTCTTCGAACGCATCTAAGAGTATAAAATCAATGAGAACGTCATAGAAGTTCATACACTTGACACCTCGACCGGTTAATTCCTCATCCATTATATTATGATTACGCGGATCTTTCAGGAACTCCAGCATACGCTCGTAATGCAGCAGGTAATCTTTAGGATCCTAATGTACAAGTTTATATCTTTTTCATCAAGAATTTATCGAATTATAAACATTTAAAATATCGTACATATTTTACTTTTTACGTTAAATAACGACACTTTCTTACCCTGTCCGCGTATATAATTAAATCGCTAATAATTTGACGACCCATGTCCGCTATAAACGTCGTCGCTGTGGGTAAACTGAACAGTTTTGTATAGGCTTGACGCAGGCAGTGCACTTTCGCCAAATACTCAACATCCGATCCGCATCTTACAAGTTCCGTGTGCAATCTCCTGTAAAAATATAAAAAGTACATACTGCGTCTGTGCGAAGATGTGCAATTTACAATTCGGCGTTCGAATGGCGATTTGTTACCTGCAAGGAATACCTTGATCTTCGTACTGCTTCAGAGCGGCGTGATACAGTTTCTGTCTTTCAAAGTGTGGAAAGAGTTCTGAGAACTCTTCGAACTCGCGCAAATCCGCCACCTGAAATTAATTTTATGTGAGTTAATTTATCTTGTTTTTGATCAAATAAAAGATAAGACGCATGAAATATACATCGTTCACAATAATATAGTGTGTGTACACAGTTAAAATAGCTGGAAGTGAGTATATAAATAACTTGTTTGAATTGTTATTATCTTTGATATATATTGAGTCATTTAATCTTTGTATATATATCATATAAATATATAGGATTTACTATATTTTAATTATCACGTGTATAACTTACCCCATCGCGTGCAGACTCGAATGATTCTGGTGAAGATGCGGCGTCGGCTTTCTCCTTGATACTAGATAACCGCGCTCCGATGTTCGACGGTTTGTCGAGACTCTCCTCACTTTCATTACGAAATAAAACGGAATGCTGAAATAAGAAGTAAGAAAACAACATGCCAAATTTTTTTCTCTCTCTCTCTCTATGCAAAGATTATCTCGAAAAAAAAAGAAAGAAAAATTATATACTTTGGCTTTCGCAATAATGTGTATTTTATACGTCAACTTTAATTTCTCATTACGGATCTGAAAACTCTGATTGTTCGGAGAAAGTCTTGCACTTCCTATGCCGCTACGTCCGCAACAATTCCCGGTCGCTGGCGTAAGGTCAAGTGACTCGTTGCGTTAATTACCCCCGGAGCGTTTATCATTTAAATTGGATTAATTCTCGTATTTTTTTTTTTTTTTTAACGACAGAAAGGCAATTGATGAATGCTGCAGAATGGAATGACATCGAGAATGACTACTCCGCACTGTCTGCGAAGGACGAACAACAGTCATCGAACCGAGGACCGAATCATACACTTCCCTGAGTCACTGCCGGACGCAGTTTTGGGAATTCTGCTCGGAAACTTCGGGAAAGAAGCCTACTTACCTGATCGAGGAAAAGAAGTTCTGCTTGGTTCTGCATCTGATAGCCCATATCGAGCAATGTTTGGACATCGTGAGTGAACGCCGCGTCGGCTTTTGACGGCAAAGCCAAGGCATCGTTGCCGAGAGTTGAGCTGAACGCGGTGAGCGCATCTTCCCAACAAAAGAGAGCTTTTTCTAATGCCTCAAGACCTAGTGTAGTAAACAACGAATTATTTTAACTTGTGTATTCTTCCTCGTGAAATATTATACTAGTAGGGAAGTGGCCAATTCGAGGCAATTATTTTACTTGATTGAAGCAATCAGTTATACATATAAGTCAGTGAAGTAAACTAATTATTTCGAAATTCATATACAAATTATAAAACTTTCAAAAACACAGTTTTATATTATTTGTATTAGGTTTCAAAAAAAAATGCATATAATAACGAACTACTAATGTTATTGGTATTAATGTTACTGCAAAAAGCACGGGAGTTTATGTGAATTTAAATATGACCAAGTGTGCATAGGTACGTATTTTATTGTATCGTAAAAATATTATTTTTTGTATTATTTTAATAATTTTTTTGCTGTGTAGGAATTTGAAACAAACGTCGAATAAAGACACAACAAATATGCTTTTATTTTTTATTTGCGCACACAAGTAATTATCATTTTCTGGCAAATTTTAATGGTGCGAACAGAAACACTATTCTTGAAAGTTGATACATAAATAACAGTAAAATTTGAGAAAAAGAGAAAAAGAACGAGAGGTCAAGTAAATAAGAGTCATGTGTCTACTTGAGGACGCAGGATCCAAATTCCGAGTCGGTGACGTCACTTTTTCTCTTTCTCTCCATTCAATCTTTTGTAAGTCGTCAGAGAACGTTCATCAATTTGCTAGAACGGAAGTTCGACACACCGTGTTAATTCAGAAGAGCCCTCTCGAAGACAGGCCCATCATCATTTTCAATCTGTGTCGTTACTGTCGCCGTTACTGACAATTATACGATACGTTCAATGAGATCAGAGAACGCCACACGAAAGAGAAGTTCGTTATAATAATGTGAATTTATATATATTTGGAGAGAAGCCATCGCTCAAATTAAATAAAATGTCACGCAACGACGCGAAGATAATTGACAAAGTTGTGAAATATATATCTTAAATGTTTTTTTCTGTCGAAATATATTTCAAAATTTTTGATAAGATACTATAAAGAAATGCACTTGTTAAGCTGTACTAACATTACACGTACACACGTACTTTTTTGTTTATTGGATATATACATATGTGTATTGTGTAGTCATTTGTAGATGTATTTAATCGAAAATGATAAACCATTGATAGCTCGAAATTTTCGTAATTTTTTGTTTTTCTTTACGACAGTAATTTTATTTTTGACTTCAATTACGAGCGAAGAATCCAGGGCACATACACACATATATATATATATATATATATATACGTATATCTCTCCCATTCGTAAAATAGATATGCAAGACCGAACGTGACTTGATTGTTTGTTCCAGTCAGAGTCACGAGCGAAATAAAGATCGCATTCTTGAAATTGAACAAAGAGGAAGAAAGCGCGCGACTGACAAAGTTATAGGTCTGTTTTTGACCCTAGGTGAATGTCTCTTTTATTCCCTGTTCTTCTCTCCTCTCCTTAATTCGAAAGAGGTAGAGAGATCCGTCGCGATCCGTCGCGCATCGACGCAACCATTACACAACCCCTGGACAAGGGGTCGTAAGACACGAAGGGATGCCCCTCGGAAAACGCGGCAGTGCGACGCCGCTGCATACGTCCGGCGGCCCGGCGTCAATAATACCACGGAGTGAGTGACGTAATCGCTAGGTCGGCCGGTCATTGGAGGATGCGTCATCCAATGGTGAGGGGTCGATACGATACAGCAGTCGTGGGGCGCGCGCGCCGCTTTGAAGCTCGCGCGTTTTACGCCAAATACGGATTACCCTTTTCCTTGTTTACGATTTTGCATATCCGAATAATATTCAAAAATCACGTCTGCTATTTTTCGAAATTTATAAACCACATATATTTTTGACGCTGAAAATATAATGGAAAGTTCGTTTCGTCCGAAACGCGTCGGGGAAAAAAACGCGCGCCAACTGTCACAGGGGTGGCCCTAGGGAATTCTCAAGGGAACAATCGTCGAAATTAAACATTACAATTTGTGTAGTCAGGGGCTGGAAATGACATTCCCCGACGTTCATTTCGCGTCGAAATTAAAGCCGGTATTGAATTGGAAATGTTGTAAATCCAAAATTGTACAAGTGTAATTCGAAATATAGAAGCAACGCGTTGAACACTCAACGTGTGACCGTAAATATAAACAAAAATATTCTCTCAACTGCATTGCCACAGTTATCGAGTCGACCTTCTTCGTATTTTGTTTATCCTTCGGCAACGTGATATTTTTTTCTCTGAGAAAAAGACAATCTTCTCCTTTCCGAAAGATTTAAAAGATAGATTATATGAAATTTTTTTATATAAATCTTGTAATCCGTTATAATGGCGCGCGCGGCTAGAGATAGAGGCGCGGGGGACCAATGGGAGTGCGAGAAGGACGGGATGTGCGTCCAATAGCCGTGCGATAAGGATGCACGAACTGCGAAAGAGGGAGAGCACTCGGTGATTCGCGGTGGCGTCAGTTACTCGGCTACGTTCACAGCTTGTCACTTGCTCGCCGTCGTTCGCGCAGCACGCTATCTCCGAAACGTTGTTTTGACGACCGTTGAATTTCGGCTGAACAGAAAGTATAACACAGAAGAGATCCGTTATTTATCCGTACAAATGATCGTTGCCGTCTCAAGATCGTAGAAAAGCCCGTGATACAGATACGGGCGAAAGATCCCTCTTCCCCCCAGTGCTTCCCCGGCGATTTGATACTCACGCACGTTATTTGGATTAAAAGTATCGACGAGAGCACGTTCGAGGACAGAGCCCAAGGTGAGTATATGGAAAATAATCGACGCGACTCTCTGAGACTTTGTCTCAGAAATCTACCGCGGAAATGCGTCCCGTTTTTTTTTTTTTTTTTTGTTAAAGAAATTAAACGTTCCGCGATCAGTACCTACGTGTAACATTTTCGGTCGATATCGATAATTTTGCACGTACAACGCAATTTTACGACGAGTGCCATTTACAGATCAGATACGCGCGAGGTGTGTTTACGCAATTCGTTTTCAGAAAGGATTCGCCTCCCACCCTTTCCTGTCCTTTCCAGGACGTTCTTTCCGCGTCAGCTAGCGTGCACTTCCGCCTGGGGAGTGCAGACTCGGTCTCTTCTCGCGGATACATTTTCATGATGAGACGATCGTTTCGTAGAAAATAATTGACATTTCCTTCGAAGTTTTTTATGCGCGCATATGTGTGAGAATCTTTTTTGAATGCAATTTTTCTTCCTCCCTTTTCTATTTTCGCCGCGACGACAGTGGTGGGTCCGAAAATCGATATTTGATAAAGTCGACGCGTTTTACATCGCACGACGTACTTCAGATTGCAATTCGTTCGAGTGAAAAGAGATATTTTCTCTCTCTCTCTCTCTCTCTCTCTTTCTTTTCTTAAACGCGATAATATTGGTAGAAAATCGCGTTTGAGTTTTCTTTAATAGGAAGAATATCTAACAACTGGGTTTTTGTCTCGTGACTGCTTGTATAGATCAATAGAATCGATTATGACCCCGTTGAATGTCCCCACAAAAAAAAAAGAATCGTATTGTTCCCTCTCCCTCGCAAGGGAACGCATCTATCGTGAGAGAAGATCGGGAGTTCACGAACAATGTGCAGCCTCGGGCAACACCTGGGCGTGTGTATATATATGTATCTTACCTTGTTTATTGCGCAACGCTCGCAACAGTACGAAAAACAAAACTGTAAACAACACGGAGATTTGTAATTCGAGAAATTGCGGCACGCGAAGAGAGTCGAGGTAACTTCGAGTTTTTTAATTCCGAAGAGATATGTACGTACATACGCGCATAATACACTCGATACGCGCACGTCTCGTTGATCACTCGCGGGAGATGTTTGTCCAAAGCGCCGTGAGGGAACTTCACGTCGTCGACATCCATACGCGCGAAATCATACGGGCTCGATCGTGGGATTTAGGCTGGCGTTTCTCGCTTCTCTATGGGGGTCAAGTTCAGAGGTCAATAGCTCCCGGTCGAAGGTGGTTCCTGGCGGTGGTACCCTCGAATAAAAGTGAATGCCGCACGTAAGTGCAAGCGACGACGATAGAAGCCGGTCGTAACACAGAACGCGCGCCGGCAGATCGATGGAGGTGCCTTGGTGAACTTGGAAATTCCCCCTAGCACACGCGCACTTCCTCATCGTTCTCTTTCTCTTTTTCCTGTTCTCTCTCTCGCTCGCGCTACGTTATGGTGTACGCGAGGATAACGCACGCTCGAGTAAGCGCGTACACAACGTACGTACCACGGCCGATTAAGAAACAGGTTATCCGCGACTCGTCACGTCTGTCGCGCGGAATGATTCATGCCGCCTCTCGCATGAACACGTACAGGGTGTCCTGGAAAAAGGACACTCGTTCCTCGAAAAATTGCCGCTCGAATGTTAAATGTCAAGTCTCAATTTTCTCTCAATGTAGTGAAACGCGAAAAGCGCAAATCTACTTAAAAGCTGGGGTAAAACTCGATGACTTGGCGAATTGTGTAGATTTTTCTTCGGCGATAAAGTCCGAGTATTGATTCTCCGACAAGAATACGCCGACGACAAAAGCGAGAGAGATCCCCGCGTCTTGCGCGCGAGAGATCTGGAAGAGATTGAAAAAGTTACATTTTTAATCTATTTTCTTCAAAGCGTAATCAGATAGCTTTGTCAATGTATTGGTCAATTTCTTTCCGGAATAATACACATAAAGATAAAGCGTTTCGTCCCTCTTTCTTTTTTTTTTTTAATCGCGTTCCGTATATCGCACGAGAAGAGAGTTGCTTTTCCCGTTGCGTGACCAGAGATCGTTGATATACAATTACGGATTAATACACACCACGAAGAGTTTCCGTGATAGCCATTGTTGATTACGAAGTTCCTAATATTATTGCATTAAAGAGTCAATTTATCGTGCACGCTAGGTACGTCCGCGTTTCAAGCCTGATAACGGATGCTGAGTAACGTGTTCCAAGGCGAAATGACAAGTGACACCTCGCAGCACGCGAGTAACAATGTGCGTAACGTTCCGAAATCAGAGATCGGGAAAAAAAAGCAGTCCTGGCGTCTTTGCTCAAAACGCGAGAAGAACTGCCACTAGGAAATTTATTTCGCGCAATATATCGCCGCTTGTGATAATTACAGATCGGATAATTGACTTTTGCGGAACTCGCTGCAATTTTATTTGTTCTCTCTGGGCAGGTTGCAATTTTTCACAAATTAGCTGATAACGTATGATTTGCTAGAATTTCAACTAGAACGTTATCACAAGTTGTCGGTCGTTTCTCCGATACGTAATTAACTAGTTTGCTCGTTAGTTTGTTTATCACTCTTCATTTGTCAATTTCTTCTTGTTTTTCTTTTTGTTGAAATATTGGGTCATATATATATCTGTCAAGTTTCACATTTAATGACCTAATATGTTTCCGCTATTATGTCTTTTTTTTTTTATTACTTTTTCATACATTTTATCTGGCATGAAATCTGGCACAAGATCAATAAGAGTTATCGTTTCCGAGGATAAAATATATTGTATGCAAATCTTGCTTTCTCTCTGACGCGCTAAAGTTACATGTTACGTACGTCTGCCAGAATGATCTTGCACTCGTTAAAGTGAAGGATGCGTTACATGATGCATTTTTTACGCAAGCGTGTGACCACGTTCAGTACAATTAATCGTAGGTAGCTACAGAATATAACCTAATTTTCAAGCTGAATTTACGCGAGAGATTTGTGTAATACAACGCGAGCGCGTGTTTTGTGACATAAATATGATTTGCGTTAAAATTGCTCTGACAAATATCGGATCGAGTCACCAAGAGCCATATTTTTGTAACAACGTTACGTTAAATTGCATTAGCAGCGCTTCATTGAACCCGAGTAAACGAATATCGCTGGTCACACGTTCCATCAAAAGGGAAATGTTCAATTTTCCTCGATCGTGGTAATAGATCGTGCAATAATCAATTTTACAACCGCAATTGTGGGACGTTACGCAATCTCAAGCGAAGATTTAAAAAAAAAAATCCATTCCCACCGCAATTCACTGTGATTTATGCAACTCTTGGAGGTTTTCTTTTGAATTCTCCTTAGAATTCTTGGCGTCATTAATCTTTTCTTTTTTTTTTTTACGACGTTGTTCTCTGAATTTAAATTCTGTGTAATTGTAGTTGCAACAGTCGGCAATTGACAATTCTGTGTATTTGTTGTTTTTTTTTCTTTTTTTTCAAATTCAAGTTCTTCTCCAAGCAAATGTGTCGCAAATCGTCGAAAATAACTCGCGGAAAGAATCTCGTAACGAACACACACACACGCCCTACACCGCAGGTGTTGTCTCACGGAGAGCGCGCGAAAACTTTCTCGCCCAACGACGCGTCGATGAACGCAAATTGCCGGCGTAATGAGATACGCGATCAAGTTGGACATTAGGTAATAGTGGCGGTGCCCGCCCCCAGTCGTCAGAGGATGCCTCTCTCGACCCTGATGAGCCTAATAAAAGTGACATCATTACACGCCCCGGCCGCGGCGCGCAACGAGCCTTTAACCCATACGACCGTACGTTCTGATTTTCATAATCTGGTTCACATCATCGCACGCCGCTGGTTCGCGCGACTATCTCGGTGTACCTTTCTCGGTGTCGCACGTCGGAATGTGTCCTTTTCGCGCAATTAGTCGGCGAGCAACAAGGGTGGTGTTTTGTTTTTAGTTTTTCTCATATTTCATCGATCAATTTAGATAGTACCCCCCTCTCTTACTTTCTCTCTGTTTCTCTCTCCCTTTTTTTCTCTTCAGAGGAGGATATTAATATTCCCAGCATCCTTGAGACTACAGTGTTTGCGGGATAGCTCGTGTATTTGCCGTTTAAAATGCGGCGCGTTGAATGCAGCAAACAGCTGACGGAGTGTGTGTGTGTGTGTGTGGTTGTGTTTGATGAAAATAAATCTTCGATTTTCAATGAGACAAAAATCAATCAGCCCGACCAGCGCGCACGTATTATAAAATTATTTTTAGATATTCATTTTTCTGACCACGTCAATAGAGGTATACTTTGTGCGCGATTATATATTGTTGCTGCTACGTCGCACATTGGTTCGCGATTTATTTATAGAGACCAGCCGTGATAATAGAATCGAGTAGGATGGAACTTTACACGCGGTAATAAGCTCTCTCGTTTCTTCCTCGCCAGGACTTCGTCGTAAAAGTAGACCAACAGAGGTCACACTCTGTGTTCTACGAGAGCCACGTCATCGGTCTTACGAACTAGAGAGAATTCCTATTCGGACTCGATGAGAAAAAGCTCAGAGCGATTGTATTCTTCGAGTTCTCGTTTTTTTCGTTTGGATAATATAACGGTCGCGGAAGACAGTAATAATGGTTTTTTTTTTTGTGTAAAACTTCGGTCAAGCGTACGATTCGTCCTACTTTTTTCTTTTTAGAAGATTATTACATATATACGATCCGGATAAACGCGAGATAAATTGTGAAATTCTTGTTCGCGAGCATTGAGTGCATCGAATCGATTAATTAAATTCTCACCGAAAAAATTTATTCTATTCTAGATTCTATCAAGAACATTCTTGAGATTACTTTTTTGTTCTATTCTCTCGTACTCTATTTACTTGATAAAATATACAGATCATTTAAGTAAATTTTCAAAGTCTGATAAAAGGAAAATAATTCAACGATTAAATAAAGAAACGAGATAGAAAAGCAAGTAAGATGAGATAAAGAAGACAAGAGAGATGGCAATGGAGCAATCAGTGTAAATATATCGTAACGATCGGA